AGGAAAAATGTTAATATTCAGAATATATATATATATTTTTAATCCCTATAAATCTGTTTTAAAAAGTAATTAAAGAAGCAAAGAAGATGGAGTCAATTCCAGAAGCAGCAGCCTTAATAACAGAATAAAAATATGAAAGATGCTTAACCACACTAGTCGCCAGGGAAATGAAATGTAAAATAACACAAGATCACACTCATCAGCACGAAAAAGGTCATAAAGTCTGACAGTGCAAAATGCTGGTAAAAGGTGAGGAAAGAGGCTCTCAAACTGCTCACGGAATTATAAATCAGCACAAAGCACTTGGAGAGGCACACGGGCCAAGCGTGGGAAAGTTCAGTATGTTTACTTCTGAAACCCACACTTTGTGAAACTTGGTAGAAGAGCCAACCCAGAGCAGTGCTCTTCAAGGCTGTCCTAAAAGAATGAAAAACTAGGTGCCCATTACCCATTTTTAAGTTAACATTGTGTTTTACATAAATTTAAGTATTTGCAAAAGATACAATTTCTGCCACATTTATAAACACTGTCATTTTGAAAGAAGACTCATTACTTTACAGTGTATTTGATGGAATCTAAAAAATCACGGAGAGTTGATACCCACCAACCTTGGGTTATGATCCAGTATGTTAAAAATTTTTTGCTTAAATTGTCCAGCTTTGATTGGGAACTTTTTTGTTTTGTTTTGTTTTGGTTTGGTTTTTGATTGGGAACTCTTTCATTTGGTTCCTGTGTCCTTTTAATGATGTACCCTTGTTGTTTCGGTTTTTGAGCGCATCTTATTCACTGGTGCTACAAAATGCTCCAAATTTATCTTTTACATTCACTGCCCCAGTCCTAGAATGAGCCATTTCTCTGAAGAATCCTGATTCCTTTTATTGCAGAATGGTATGAGAAACCAAGTACTGTTTGTTTGCCACTGATTTTATTTTAATTACTTGATCTCTCATTTCTAGAATTTCTATTTTGTTATTTTCCAAATCTGCCATCTTCATACGACTTTGCCTCATCTTTATATTCAATTTTTTTCTTCTTTGAGCATTTTATTCATGTCTGTTTTAAAATCTCTCACTTTGCTCTACTACTTAGATAGAGTTTTAGGGGGTAACGTAGTGGCTGCTGATTTTTTATCTTTTCATTATTATTATTATTGTAGTAAACTCGTTTTTAGCAAGGATTGTTTTCCATAGATGTTTTTATGTCATGGGTAACGGGATAATTTCTTCACTGTAGTTTGACTTTAGTGTAGTTAACATTAATTTTCCATCTTTGAGCTCTTATACAATGAGGTAGTGTGGATTTAGTCCTCTGATCTTGGCTGAGCAAAGGCCTATTGTTCATGATTTCTTGTGGGTAACTCAACTTATGGCCCAAGATTTTAGGCAAATTGTTTCAAATATCTTTCTTTTTTTTTTTTTT